AGTGCTTGTGCCTGTTCTGCTACTTGTTGTACATAAAATAAAATCGATAACTGTTTAAACCGTCGATGGATGTATTGGCAAATTTTCGTACATTTTTACGACGCACTTAAATGGTAATTTCAGCGCGCCATAATTCGGCAGAATCCCCCATTCGTGCATTTGTGATCGCATTAGAATTTGCGAAAATCAACGCTTGCGCACACACACCCACACATACATATATATGTATACTCGTACACGCTGATGTGCGTGCAATGCGCTGCAATAATGTCGAGAGCCATAAAATCAAGCGAATAAATAATAATATCGCAAATATTTGTACTTTATGATTGATGTGTGAATATCATTTCCACAATACAAAATACATAAATGAGCAGCCACTCAGCAGTTATGCGCAACGCTGGTGTGTACCATATGTGTGTGTGTTGGGGCGAGTACATGTCCGCAAAAACCTCTGAGCTAACAAATGCAGCGCCCCATCCCAGTGTCTCGTGTTTGCGCGGCATTTACACATGTCTCTGCATAAGTAAACAGCGAAATCGCATTTTCACAAAGTATTTAATTCGCGCCCTGTTTTAAGGGCGTACCGGCAGCGAAGGACAACTGGACGGCGCTCAAAAACGCGAATTTCTCTTTATCGACTTGTGTGTGTGCGTGTGTAATTTAATTGTGTTCGCTTATTTTCCTTTTAGGGTGGTATGAGAGGGGCTGTAGTGGAAAATCGTTAATATGCAAACCAAATAAATATTTGAATGACTTTTGAATCGTTTATTAGTTTGTGTTATACCTTAAATATAATGTGTTTTTTTTTTTTTTTTGTTACAAAAAGGATGCTTCATTTTAGAAATATCATTATTTTATAGAGAATTTGTATGCGAATTACTGCTAATGAGTTCTCACTAATGGTCATAAAGATACATAAAGTCTACTTAAAGAAAATAGAAAGCCACTGTTTTTCTAATAGTAGGCGTTAGTAATCTGTATCAAGCGTTTCATAAGATAAGACTTAATTCTGAAAACACTACTTACATATTCGCTATGTGTTTGGTGGAATTGACAGGGAATCATCTATTATGAGCTATTCTCCTACCGCCAAACTCTTAATTCGAACATGTATCGTTCACAACTGAACCGTCTGTAGCTAGCAATCGCTCAGAAGCGCTCAGCTTTGGCCAATAGGTGCGAAATTTTTTTCCATCAAAGCAAAGCTACATACATAATGCCGAGCCAGAAGCTACGAAAGCTTGGCTGAGAGTTTCTTATGCATCCACCGTATATAGTGCAGGTCCAGACTAGCAAGTGATTACTGTCTCTTTCGGTCTATGGAGATGGATCTACGTATTTGGGATCGATCAATCGCCGTTGTTTGAAAAGTGTTGGTTTGTTTCTCAAACAAAACCAAAAAGTCGATGAAAATTGAAACCGTTGGATTGTGGCTCATTATATCATTGCTTGAACCAGATCTTGACGGTATCAGGTTTCAGCAAGTAATTGGTAATCAAACTATTTATATTCAGTTCATATCAAAATGAGTTAGAAATTTAGGAGGAGTAAATTATCGACTAAAGGAAAGTCAAATTGCTTTCATTATATCTAATTTTATTTTGATGAAGAATGAGAAAAACGGAAATAATGTGAAGCTCAGTATCTCTAAAACTTTTTCCGGATTAAAGCATTAAGTTTGCAGTTAGCGATAGTTTGAAAATGAGTCGTTAAAAAGGTCTGCAGTACATTTATTTCAGAACTAGAGATCTTATCTTAGTTCTTTTAGTTCGTGGCTCTCCCCAAACATCTAATTAAATCATTTTGTTTGAAGTAAAAATACTCATGAATCAATTTAAAATCAAGGTTAGAGATTGAAACCAAATTTTGAAATCACTATCTAACAAGACTCTACAAATTGTATCAAAAACTCACAGTACCTTTCGTTTAATAATGTCTTTAATAAAGTTATCGCAGTCAATTTATATGCTGCAGTCAATTTCGTCAAAGTCTTGTTTAGTTTAGTGGGGTGCAAGCTATTTATTTGCTACATAAGCGAGTACGTACGAGTATGTACATATATGCCACCTCACTTGACGTGCCACCCATAAACACACATACATGACCACGTGAAAATAGATGCAATAACAAAAAAAATACGCGCCCGTACGAGTTCATGTAAAATATTGGAGAGCAAATTTAATAATTCTATGTGGAGTACATGACTGGCAGCGAGCGAATGTGCCACACTTGCCAGCAAGCATGAATTGCATACGAAATATGTATCACCCAACTCACCGATTCACCAGCGCCACAACCGCGGCGGTTGGACTTCAAGCTCTGGGCCAAATACTTCGTTTCATTGCGCCCGCAACACTCCGTGCGGATAACAGGGCGGTTGGCGACGCCGTGTCGGCAGCGGTGACATTTGTTGCATCGATAATTTTGTCACCATGTCGTATGTGCGAATGTGTAGGTATGAATTCGTGTACGTGTGCCGAGTACTGCTTCTTTTCAATTCACGCTCGTAATTATGCCGGAAGCACGCCAAGCTCATCGTAACGCAGCCACTTAGGAGTCGGTGGGGGTCGGTTGGGTGTGTGCGGTTGAAGGACTACATATTGCCACACAAAAATGTCGAAGTGTTGAGTCATTACGAATGCAGAATGACGATGAAATTACTGCCATTGCCAACTTGGCTGCGCAATAATGCAATAAAAATGTATGTGCTTCGCGATATTATAACTGATTACCGTTAGTTGCGCGGCGGATGACAGTGATAAGAAGGAAGTACGGAAGTGGGTGTTGTGTTGTGTATCTGACGAACGAATATAAGCGTTAGTTAAGGGTGTTGAAATATTTGTTTGCGCCAGTTAAGAAAGTAACGAGCTTTAAAATATTGAAGTGTTAAAAAGCGAATGTGCTTGGCTTCTAAGAAACTTACGAAACAAGAAGCTTTAACACCGTACAAATATTGGTTTTATTTTTGAATTATTTGAAATTTCATTAGCGAGCCAGTCTAATACTTAACGTGTAATGGGCAAAAGTCGCACCTTGTTTTGACCTTTGACTTTGTTGTCCAGAAGTCCGATCTGAACGATTTGTATTGTACCATTGCTTGAGACAATAATCCACGCCAACATTTGTGACGATATCTTTTCAAATACTAAAAAAGTTTTACATACAAGAACTTGATTTTGAACGTGCAGTTTGTATGTTAGCTATATGCTATAATGATGCGATCTGAACAATTTGTTCAGATATTGTAGCGTTGCTTTGAATAATAATCTATGACGAATTTCGTAAAAACATCTCGTCAATTTTCCATGAGTTCCAAAGTTTTCCATGCAAGCACTTTATTCCGATCGTTTAGTTTGTAGTGACAGCTACATACATATACACTATAGTGTTCCGATATTAAAAATTTTTTTGGAGATTGCATTTTCGCTTTAGATAATACCGCGTGCTAAATTTTGTGAAAATACCTCGTCAAATGGAAGAGTTTTTCCTACAAGTCGTTCCGTTTGTATGGCAGCTAAATGCTATAAAGATTCGATATCGGTAATTCCGACAAATGAGCAGTTTTCTAAGAACTAATATAGTTTAAATAACTAAAAAAAATATTTTTAAAGCACTTCAAATTAAAAAATGAAAATTGATTCCTCATATAGACTGACAGAAATATTGACGGAATTTTGTATATTTGTATGTGTGAAAAAAGTGTGGTATGCTCGATAAACGTAAAATATGGCACAGATTGGTTGGAAAGTTGTTTGCTCTCACCAAGAAATAGCGCGATAGATGTACCAACTTGACTTGGAGCTAATAAATTTTGTTTCTTAAGTTGGTACATCTGTCGTGAGAACCAATGCAAAGTTACAAGTTATTCTGTCAATTAATTCTTTGTTTACAAGCCATTTGAAGTTGACGTGTCAGAGTAATTTTTTAATATGGAAAAATTTAATATTGCGCAGTGTTTGGATTCTTTATTTTGAAAAGCTTAACAGCAAAGGAAATTTATGAACAATTGTTAGAAATGTATAAGGAGTCCTCATCTTCAAAATGCACCGTTGAATTTCGGGCTGGTGAATTTACTTTTACCGTACTAAGCCCGAAGATGATCCACACGAAGGACGATCAAAAATCGCAATCACACCAGCTCCAAAGCTGGTTAAGTCACAACGATCAGCAAAGAAGATTATTAATTTTGTTGATTGATTATCTGCAGCCGTTTGGATAAGCTGCATGAAAAAATTCGTGAGAAAAGACCTGGTTTGCAGCACAAAAAATTCAGTTTTCATCAAAACAATGCACCTGCTCACAAAGATGTTTTAACAATGACAAAATTCAACTAATTAAATCGCTTGAGCATTCACCGTATTCGCCAGATTTGGCTTCCAGCGACTACTACCTCTACAGAAACGTGAAACAATTCCTTAGCGGAAAGAGTTTTTCGTCGAATTAAGAAGCTATTGCAGCAGTAGACGGGTATTTTGTAGAGCTTCCGGAATGACATTATAGGGATGGCATAAAATTATTGGACGATCATTGGAATGAGTGTATTGAAGCTAAGGAAGATTATACTGAATAAAAAAAATTATTTCATATCAAAATCAGTATTTTTTCATTTCGCGCGCGGAAACTTTTCAACTTATTTTAATTAAATTTTTATTAAGGTTCTATTAATTATATGCATACCATACATTTTTCTTAATACTTTGTTAGACCCTAAATTCATAAACAAAATTATTATACTCTCATTCAAAAAAATTGCATCTATTGTTTCGATATATACTCGAATATAACAATAAAAGCTTAAAACAAATACACTAAATTTTGGAGTGCTAAACTTTAATCACTTGACCTGACTAAAATCCATTTAAAAACACTTTTACACTCAAGCATTATGGCGCACACTAACAAAAATATCGCCCCTAAGCGATTTACACTGCAAGCATGGGTACCATTATAACTAGATTTCAAATTCATTTTGCATTATTTGCTTGCACTTTTCACAGAAACTCATCAAAACAGAAATATCGACGGCACATCAACGAGAATGCTCTCGGCATAATACGCAGCACACTGAATAGCGGCGGTTTTGGCCCACAGCCGCCTAACCTCAACAACGAGCTCGGCATACCAGCCAATGCAGGACCAATGAGCCAACTGGCCGCCGGCTACGGACGTCCCATATCACATGCTGGCGGTGGCATGGGTGTGGCAGCAGCAGCTGCTGCCGTTGCGGCGGCCACTAAAGAGCGAGGCATGTTCTCGCTTAGCCAACTCAATATTGACTTGGAGGAGGCGCATAACAATAATGGACGTATGGAACTGACGTGCTTGTCCACAATACCATCAGCCATAGGTCAAGGAGAGCAGTTTGCTGATTACAAGACGTACTCGGTAAAAGGTGAGTACACAGGTTAACCCATCAAATTCTACCGTAATTTCTGCCACATTATTGACAGATGCTTCAAACTCAAACCCCAACGACAGCAGACCCTAATAAATGTTTTGACTAGTAGTTATGTAGACAGTTGTGTGTGTGTGTGCTTAGATATTGATGGAAGCGAAGGTAAAAATGAAAGCACAGGTTGTAGTACAATTACTCGTATATATGCGAGAAAAGTGATTTGTTAGCTGTAAAAAACCAAGTGCAATTTTATCATCGCAACATTTAGGCATAGTCGAAGTTTATACATATTTTCCTAGATATATAAAAACAAAGTAACTACGAGGCTTAAAGCTAAGCGCTCTCAGCCTTCGTACCCATAACTCAGGTGCGGACTGTGACTGCTATGAATAGCTTATGAGGTTTTGGTGAGTTTTATTGCGCTCTTAAGTCATTTATGTAGGCGTAAATTTGGAAAACAAAATAATTGAGGGGTTTGCAATTTTTCTCGAGCTGGTTAGTCACATTAATCACTCATATTCAACGAAATTTGTTGATACGAATTAGAGAAGGCAAAACACTAGAAAATCGGTAGTTTTACAATTGTGAAGGAGAGTTACTTGAACTTAAGGTTAAGGTATATGAATTGAATTGGAGTGCGCGTGTAGAGATATTGGTTAGTGAGCAATTTTTGCATATGACGGTTTTTACTACACACTTTCATCGCATTGTAAATAAAAAAATATTGTGTGTAATTGAATGCAAAGCTTGGTGAAAGCTCGCGCATAGCCACGAAAGCTCAGAAATAAATATGAAATAATTTTGACCATATCATATATAAAAACACGGCTTATTCCAAGATATCTATTTACTTATATGTTTATTCGCATTGTCTTCTTTGGTGATTGTGAAGCGGCAATTTAGGCAAGCTCATCGCACGAAATCTAATCTTCAATTGATTCGCAGAGGCTTATCAGCAATTACGACCATCTCGTATAAGAACGGTTCTAATATTTTTAAGAGTTTCCAAAACCAACGAAAAAGTGCTGTGTAAAAAGAAAAAGATGAGGCAAGAGACCGGTGCTGTCTACAAACGTCTTGCCTTTGTCAACCGAATGTAACTCTGGAGGTGTCGCTTGTTTAATATGCTTCAATAATTATTCTTTAAACGAGAAATTATATGAAAAAGTCTCTCATAATGTTGTCGAAATCATTATTTACTTTAATGCCAACGGAAAAATTATTCAAATTGTCAATTGTATATAAAAAGTCTGCTTGGGTGTAAAGTATCATTACGAATTCAAATCCTACGCTTCTTTTAATAAATGTGTTTTAAAAATAGATACATTGTATGTCCATACATACGTATACACATAAGAAGTGAGCTCATATTAATGTAAAGCGCTTGTTGCTGTGTGCCTTGAAAGACTTAAAGAGAACCGCCGAAAGTGGCACGTGGCTAAATGCTCCTACGCTTATACTGCTACAACGATTTATGTTCAAATGTGTTGACTACTTGAAAGCAATTTCAAATGATAATCATTTATGTTTGTTAAATTCATATTTAAATCGACAAAAGCACCAGAGCAGCGGCAAGACAATACTTACCTCCTCATTGTCATTATAATTTTGAGCTGCCGTAGCGACAAAATTATCCTTATCACCACTGTTGTTGTTATTGTTGTCACTCGCTGTCATCAATTTGCATTTGTATGTTAGTATGTGTGCCTAGAGGTATAATTCAACTGTAATGCGTTCGCAATTCTGGTTGTCGAAAATAATTTTTTTTTATGCCGAATCAACCGTTGCCTTTCCTTCCGTATACAAATAAATATTTGGCAGCTGAACACGCTTGTTACGTACATTTATACATACATACATATACAACATGTTTGTCTTCGTTTAAGGTTTCTGCTCATATTTTTTTGCGGCATTGTGATGTTTACACATAAAAACTCGGAATTGTCAGCTATTAGTCATATTAGGGTGCGACATATTGATGTGGGCGGATGTGGATGTAGTATCAGCCGTGCAAATATCACATATATGTATTGTACATTCATCATAAAATTGAATTTCCAATTAAATCACTGCATACTTTATTTTATAACTTTGTTTCCATCAAATGAGGTTATGTAATTTGTATTAAAATTTAGCTACAAAAAATAATGACAAGGAAAAGTATACAAAATAATAAAATTTTAGGCAATACTAAATTAGAAATAAATTATATATTAAATAAATTAATTAGAAATATTGATAAATTCATATATTACAGTGGATCGCAATTACCTTCTGCAGTCGAAGAGCTTACGCTGTAAATATTTTAGAATCAAACAGATCTTCCAGAGATTTTTCAGTTTGGGCCACCACAGCCTATAGTTTCTATACAAACTGATCGATCAAAATCAAGATAAAGACCATTTTACATGCTTTTTTGCTATGCGGCATTACCTTTTGAAGGACATTTTAGCTTCGGTACAAACGAAGTTAAAGTTTTTACTTGTTATTTCATGTAGGAACAAAAAATAATTGTCAAAATTCCTGTCAATCTAAAATAAACTACAGAAACTAGGATATTCATAACAGAGCTCAACTCCACCCTAATGTATATATGAACAAATCTATTTCCGGCTATATTTCATGCTTTGTTCATCATCTGCACTGCCGGAAAGACACCTCTTTAGGTTTGAAGCACTGGCATTATGAAAGCATGCTTACACCAAAATATCAGTATTTTATAAGTTGTACACATATATACATATGTACATATATTTATGTATATATGTTTATGACTACTATTTTAAATATATGGCACCGAAACCTCATAGGAAGTCATTAAGTTGTACATTAAATGGGCGCCTTTAAAAAAAAAAAAGACACACACAGTTACGTCTGCATATTGCTGTATTGCTGGTGGGCGTGTGCTGTGTACCGTTACTGAGGTGGCGTCAAAACTGTCGTAAATTGTGAGAAATAATTGTGTGCCATTGTTTCTTCGGACTAACGAGCATCGCCGCCGCCTCATAAGCTATTGCTAAACAGTCATTCACAGCTCACACATCGCTGCGCGCTGACCCGGCCCGCACATTTCTAACACACATTATTACTTTCACCTGTTGTAATCAGCAACAGTAAGCAGTCAAGCTGTTCTTCGCTTTGCATTAAAATATCGTTCTTGTTTTTGCTTTTGTTTTGCCTTTGTTGCTATTATTGTGATTGCTTGACGAGCTGGGCGGACAGAGAAATGAATGGCGCCTAGTCATGCGGCTGAGCGACCTTATATGCGGTAAAGGATTCTAGTAATTTATTGCGCACACACACACACATACACACACACACATGAGTGGAGGAGGTCTTAATTTTTTTTGCTTTCGCCTTTCGGAAAATGCGTAGAAAATTTATTTGTATAAACCACAAAAGCCACCGCACACAACAACAAGGCTTTTAACAAGCTGTCATCTACGTATATATTGCATATATATATGTGTGTGTGTGTGCGGCCTAGGGAAGCAGATAGAGTTGCATGTGTGTGGGTGTGTATGTGTGGCCTTACTGCCAAATTATTGTGTTTTTTTTTGGGCAGTTTAGCAAAAGTGAAATGAAAGTGAGAACAGAGTTTCAATGGCAACAACCACACCTTTACCTCTCAACTCATAAATAATTAATTCTGCTGCCTGTGAATGTGAAGTGCCAAGGCAAAACGGTATTTAATGCCTCTGCCGTCACTCCTATCACTGCTCAACTTCCACATCAAACAACATTCGGACAAATTGACGGCCTGTCAAACGAATAGCACCAACTCTCCGAGCTCTCACCCACATTACCGCCCAATCATCACAGCCAGAAGAGATTAGCTGAACAAAGTTTTACTTTCACTTTAACTTCTAATCCGCCAAATGCGCGTACAAATGAGAAACAAATCAGAACATAGCAAATCCCTTAGTCAGTCATTGGATTGAATTGGTTTGCGAATATTTCTTTTGACTGACCTTTCCCACAAATCCGGGGTTTAGCCAGCAATTGCCAATTGCTTTTCCAACCAGCCTGCCGCCCTTCTTCTCGACCAAATAGATATATCGCACAGCTGAGACAGCTGAGTACTGCTCTGAGCGCGGTAAGCTGCCGAGTGTGTTCCTGCTTAATCCTTGTTTGTTTTGTTGACATTTTTGTTTCGTGAGTCAATTGCACAAAGGCGCTGTTGAATGCTTGTCGACAGTATTTTCTGGTATCTAACAAAATTTGGGTTGTAGTTGAAATTGAATTTCGTTTGTGGAAATTCACACCAGCTGAATGAGTTGCTTGAGTGAATTTGGGTCGAGCAAACACGCACTTATTCGGCTCAACCTTTTTCATATTTCATATTTCAATTATTTAAAATTGAATCCACGCCATCAATCAAGTAGTCGTAGATGGACGTAGTGTTGTCTATCTATGCATGTATTTGTTGTTGAAATTTAATATTCAATATTTAAAGTGTTAGCCGGACTTAAAAGCTTACTGTCACTTAAAAAAATCACAGTCGTGTGACAAGATAGTACGCATTCGACCAGTAAAAGATCGAGAAATGAGTTCGCTTTACAATGATATTTAGCTATGATATTTGCAGAGCCTTTGTGTGGGATTAATGAGAAAATAGAAATTTGTTATGATAATTATTCTCCACAATTCATGGCTGGTGGTAAATCTTTGGAGTTAGCATAACGGAGAGCAATTTAAGTGTCAAACCAGCTATTAAGTTTTCAACTGCTAGCAACTATTATATTACGTCTATTGCTTATTATATAATATTATTAATTTACTGTCTCTCTTTATCTCATACGAAGAAAGAAAAAAGTATCCTGCAAATGAGAAAAGGCCCCACTTAAAACAAGAGTATGAGAGGTTTTCTCATTTTCTTCCCTTTTACTTTCTTGTTGCATGGGAAGCATATTTATTACTTATATACCATAGACTAATCAAGCCTTCTTTACGTCTTACAAAGTTTTCATGCTAGAAACATAACATAAACTTATACAATTAACAGTTTTGAGAAGATGATGTATCTAGGTATCCAGCATTTTTCATAGATTGCAGCATAATGAATTTTATGTATCTTGAGTTGCATCGAGTCGCTTTGAGAGTTGTATTACTTTTGTCCGAATTGTTTTGTAGATCAAATACAAGGTGCGTTCCAAAGTAAACAGGACTTTTTAAAAAAGACAAAACAAATGGTTTTATCACCAAAATCAATTAATTTTATTCGAAATAGTCTCTCCTGTTTAATACAGCTTTTTGCACGGTCCAAAAGCATGTCGAACGATTGTTTTAGTTCGTTGCCCGGTATGGCCGCCAGTATGCCGGTGCAAGCCTTTTGAATGGCCTCCACGTCTGCATAACACTTTCCTTTCATCGACAAATGCATATTTCCGAAAAGGTAGAAGTCGCACGGTGCCATATCAGGTGAATACGGGGAGTGATTGATTGTTAAAATGTAATTTTTGGTCAAATAATCGGCCACAAGCGTCGATCGATGAGACGGCGCATTATAGTGCAACAAACGCCAACTTCCATCTTCGCGATATTCGGGCCTAACACGTCGAATACGGCGCACCAAACGCTTCAAAACTCCAAGGTAGAATACTGCATTAACGTTTTGGCCGGGTGGAACAAATTCTTTGTGGACAATACCCTTGGAATCATAAAAACAAATCAGCATTGTCTTCACTTTTGACTTCTCCAGGCGCGATTTTTTGGGTTTCGGCTCATTTCTCATTTAGGTCCTCTCGACCACTTTGAAAACGTTGAAGCCACTCGTGCACTCTGGTACGGGATAGGCAATCATCGCCATAAACTTGTTTCATCAATTGAAACGTTTCGGTAAAAGTTTTACCAATTTTAAAACAAAATTTAATGTTGGCTTTTTGTTCGAAGCTCATTTTCGCACCGATGAAAAAACAAAACTGATACTTAAAACGCCATAACTTCATTTCCAAAAAATGAAATGTCATGAAATTTTTACTGGAAGTCGATAAAGGATAGCAGATTCTAACGCACTAGTCGACATTGGGATGGCACCACTAGAGTTTACTTTTTTACTGTTTACTTTGGAACGCACCTTGTACATTCCGTTGTAAAACTCAAACGTGATTCGTTATATCAAACATGTCAACTTAACGAAACTGCATTGATGATGCGACTAGAACCTGTATAACATCCGAGACCTTTCACCAGAAAACGAGTATTAATTGCACATAATGCCTATTATCCTGATATCGGCATTGCAATTGATTAATTTTAAGCTTTATCCGAGCTTCAGGCTCGGTCAGTATCAAATCGTTTGAGGTCCAAGATTTATATATTCTAGCTCATTGTAGTCTTTAAGTGCATACATTTAAGGGTCCAAATGGGTTTTATTGTTGGCCGGTGCCCAATGTCGTCGTACAGTGCAAGCGCTGATTTCGATTTCATCCTCTTAGACGCACTCGCTCATAGCAAAAGCTATAAGAAAACCTCATTCTTAAAATTATTTTACCGAATTTATGTACATTTAGTACTTTTATATGTTCGATGAACATTTTTTGCTGCTTTTTGTCGAGAAGCTTAATATTTCATACTCTTTCGGCAATGTTGTTGATTAGTTTACTAAGTAGACGGTTGGTGCTTTCGACTTTCGGTTATTTTTAACCCATGACTGATGCATGTGGTTTGCTTATTAAAAGCATCGCATAGCCACTTACCTAGTGACCTTTTTAACTGCCGAAGCTCAGTGACTTATACGGTCGGCTTAAATGGTGCACTTAAAAAAGCTGTTTCAATAGGTTCGAGTGTAACGAAAGCTTGGCAGCTTAGTCTCTCCGTCGTGCTCAATTAATTTCATCAATTTATCTTCGCTCTAAATGTCAATCTAATACTTTAGCAACCAATTTCAGCAGCTACGGCGCCACCATTGCCAGCAGTCTGCGAAGCTTAGCATGGGTCACAGCGAAATTTTGAACGCGTTCGAAATTTACCTCCAAATTAATTTTTATTTGTTTCATTCTTTTTTCTCTTCCATGTGCTACGTCTCCACCGCTTGCGTCATCCTTAAATCACCGCACATACTACCAAATACTTATTCACCGGCTGACGACCGGCTGACGAATGCCGCCCTGCTTTCCACCACAGTTGAACTCATGCGAGCGGAAACTTCATCGACAACAACATCGGCACCCAGCATAGGGATGGCAGCATTAGGAAACGGCGCCTCACATGCCGCGGAAACGGCGGCGGCGGTACGACCAACAATGAGTCTAACATTTGGCACCCGCTACACATGGGTCACAGTGGCAACGCTGGCAGCTGTGTTGCAGATGTTGTGCTATTGAAGACGCAAATAGGAAGCTACAAAGGGCACCGACACCGTTCCGCCGATGGTTGCCACCGGCTTCGGTTTGTGCTGCAGACCTGCCACGGCCCACCGAATCACCGACCGAAGGTAATGGAAAATATAGACAAAACGAAAGTCCCGCTGTAGCTGCAACTACAACTACAATTAGACCCAGCTGATATGTACCTTTTGAAAAATATCCATCTCTCTTTCTTAAACAACTGCAAAGCAGAGTATAGAAACAGAGAGGTAAAAGAAAAGTACACAAATACATACATACACATACTAAACGCACACTTAGCAACAGTCATGTATATTTAGCAGGTGCTGCAGGGGGAGGGGCAGACGTACAGCAGTGAGCATAAAAATTAAATTGAAACGGTGAATCGTAAAATGTAAAAATCAAAATGCGAAAAGGTGAAATGGTGAAATGTGAAAGGCACACTGCTTGTGCAGGTGCACCTGCACTATTGTTGTTGTTGTTGTTGTTGTTGTTAGACAAAGGACGTGGACGGTGTCGCTGCTGATGTCAGTGCCGTATGCACGGCCAGCAAACAATGGATAATGACTGCATGTAAAAAGTAGGAATTAAAACTGTAGCGAAAGAAGAAGAAGCAGACGAAGGAGTAGAAGAAATAGTATAGCATAATAAATAGAAAAATATATCAAATTAGAAAAAGTAAAGCAGTAGCTGCTAAAAGGGAAAAGCAACAAAAGACAACTAAATGCACCGAAAACAAAAAAAATTTTAAATTTTAACTGAAAAACTTTGTGAACTTTAAAGGGAAAACAACAACACAAACAACAAATAATCGAGTCTAAACTACGAGGCAACCGGAGGACGAACAGACTAAACTTAATTGCACAAAAGAAATGAGGCGAAACGTCCGCCGAACCGGCGACTGACGACTGTGCTCCGAGCATATGTAAGTGTAAGTGTTTGTGCTTGTATTTAGTTGTATAGGTGTGTAAAACTGTAGCTGTATATGTGCATGTGTAAACAAACGGTGAAGACTTCATTGTGGGGGTGGAACTTTTGAGAAGCTTTGCTTATTTGCTCGCAATGTAAGACGAAATAAAACAATAATTTTTCTTTTTTATGAAAATTGTAATAAAAGTAAAAAATTCAAGTAAAAATAAATAAATAAAAAAACTACGATAAAATTTAACAAAAACCAAGCAGTGACGGAACATAGAGAATTAGTTGAGCGGCAAGTTTCAATGAAGAGGAAAAGTTAGCCATACAAAATCTACTGACCTGTTCTTGAAGTGTGCAGCGGAGAGCGTAAGCACATGCAGTGTTTTTGTAACTTGTAATAAACAGTAATAAAAAGGGTAGTCAAAGGATAATAATTTTTTAAATGTAACAATCTTAAGAAGCACACATTTGGCGGTAAGCTTTCAAAGTCAGTAGTGGAATTGGCAAAGTTTTTTACCTAGACGAGTAGCATTTTCATGCATACATACATATTTATATTTATACAGTAAAATACTCGTATGCTAGCAAAAATTTTGTGTGAATTTTAGCGAAATGTACCAGAGAAAGTTCATTTAGAGAGTTTGGAATATTTGCATTTCTTTTTTTCGAAATGTGCAAAAGTATATTTCTAATTGGAGAAATTAGAAACAGTGCTCTGAATTTTGCTTGTAGGTCGTGAAACATTTACAGTACTTATGTATTTGTTGTTCAATGTGAATAAGCAAACATATTTGCTTTTAGTTTTAAGATTTATTTTTATTATTTAGGTAATTTGCTTTTTACCCAATTCGCTTAATTCTGTTTTATTTTTATTAGTTTTTTATTTTTTTTTTTTGAATAATTTAATTCTTTAATACAATTTAATGGTTTTTATTTTGCTTCATGTCATTTTTTTGTTTTATTAAATCTTTGTAATTTTTTGTTGGATAATTGAAGTTATTTTGTTTCATTTTTATTTTTGTTTCATATATATCATCTTATATTATGTATTTGAACTTTTATACAAATATTTTTTATTTATTTTTATATTTTTATTTTATTTTAATTTGTTTAATATAATTTGTTTATATTAATTTACTTTAAATTTTCATTTTGATTGAATTTATTCTGTTGTATATACATTTTCTTCAAACCAGAAAATAGTTCTATGAAATATTTCTGCTATTTTTTGTTAATTTGAATAATTTTCCGACAATTTTTAAAACAGTTGAATCTTTTGCTAAGCAAAACTTGAATCCGTTGAGGGATCAAGCGAATAGATATTAATTTTTTAGAAGCTGTTAACAGTGTTTTCCAAACTACAAGCAGAATTAATTAAATTTTAATGTTAATTTTAGTTTTAATATTAATATAAATTTTATTTGTAGTTTTAATTTGCATTAATTAAATTTTAATTTTGATTTAAATTAATTAAATTTTATTTCATTTTATATTATATATTTTCTCAAAGCATAAAATGTTTCTGATATTTTTTACAGTACGACAGTTTTGAAACCAGTTGAGGCTTTTGCTAAGCAAAAATTTAATCCGTTGAGGGATCAAGCGAATAGACATTAATTTATTATAGCCGTGTACAGTGTTCCGCAAACTATCATACATGCAGAATACCTACCCATACAAATATTATACATAGATGCATACATACAAACATACCTAGTAGTTAGTTAAAGGCAATGCTGCAATGCTGCAACGCATTAGCAAATGAGGTAGTGAACAATTTTCCATATTTTTCGATGTGTGTGTTACTCCAAAACTATTTACAAAGAAATACATAGCAACATATAAATATGTATGTGCAAGCAAATAACCAAAACTCTAAGCAAAATATTCAAGTAAAGTTTACTTTGTAGATAACAATTAAAATACCTATGCATACAAACAGAAATACATACATACATACATATATATGTAACAAACTGCAACATATGCAAATAAAAACAACAACACAAATACCTAAGCAAAAGCAAAAAAAAAAAGAAAACAAACGCGAAAAATTGTTGTTTTTCAGTGCGTCCATGGCTAAAATTTCGTTAGAGTAGTAAGCAAAATTAGAACAAAAATCATACATATAGCAAGATAATATCCAAAGAATACCCAAGAAGCTTAAGAATACAATCAATGTTGAGAACAAAGTGAATACCAAACTTAGTCAAGATTCCCATTTACAAAAACAAAAGCAAGTGAGATATTTACAATTTTAGTAAATACGCAAGTTGTACATATTTGTATGAGTGTTAGTATATACTAAATACACACATATGTACTTATACTACTGTATGTGTTGAATGTTAAGCGCCAGTCATTAGGGATGATGATGTGGTTAAATTTATTTAGCAAAAAAAATTGTTGACTTGTCTGATTTTTTATGGCGGCATTGTGTTTGTATTGGAAATGTCTACCCTTTAGTTTTATTTTTAAAAAGAAAAACAAATATATAAAAAATAGTTAATTGTCTATAGAAAAATTGTAGAAGTGAGTGCTGAGTGTAGTTAGGTTAAATTAATGGAAACAATTTGTGTAGATCAATGTGTAAAAAGCAAAATAAAAAAATGAAAAGCCGTTATAACAAGTATTCGGTAAATATATTGTAGATATATGTATGCGCAAATATGTATAAAGACTTGTATGCAAAGAAACAAGCCATACACGCACACATACATATTTACAGCGCGCAACACTTGAGGACGAACAAATCATCTTAATGCTTTAAATGTCTACATAAAAATAGTTAAACTTATGCAAACATATACACATAAATAGTATGAATATGAAATAATCATTGAAAGTTGATATGAAAAATTCAAATTAAAATTGAAAAATAAAACGAAAAACCGAAAATTAATGGATTTCCTAAAAGAGTACTATATTTAGGTATTTTATATTGGTAAGCTTCTTTACAATAACAAAAACAAAAAATTAAATAAACACAAATATTAACTCCTATATATGTATATGTAAGTAACTGTATGAGCCTGCAAAAAAAAAAAATCTACCAAATAATTGTAAACAAACAAAACTGAAACCGTATCTTCAAGTGCAGACACAAAAAAGTATTTATTTATTTCGAAATAAAACGAAATGATACATAAGCGAACACTAAATGGTTGTTGAATGCCCCCAAAAGCTTAACAAAAGCAAATAAAATATTAAAATACACACAAACATATCCAAAAAATAAATAATGAATAAACAAAATCCACCAAATAACTTGAGTTTCAAAACAATTAACCGTTAGTAGAGGTGCAAATAGTCAAATACAACATAAAAAAATTATATTCAGGCACTCAAGCAGTAAACTCTCTTAAAATCATTACCTTTTAGTCAATTGGTACAATTCAAATTACACAGATTATGAAGAGGAAAATCAATTAATTAACAGAGACGAGAGAAAAACGAGTTTTAAATGAGCATATGAATATATAAAAAAAAAAATATGAATATCATATCGTAAAACACAAAAACAAAAAAGGAAAAACCAAAAAAGTAAAAAACAAAAAACAACAAAAAAATTACAAAAAACAAAGAAAAAAATGGCTAAAATGTCTTATGCAGGTATTGACGTCTTCCTATGCTACGCTGTCTATTATTAACTAAACAACAGTAACAAAAAACTAAAAGAAAAGCGAAAACCAAATAACATAAAAACAAAAAAAATATAGTAATTATTTGCATTAATTATACATTTACAATTTAGGTGTAACAAATGAAAAGTAACTTATAATATATATACGAGATAAAGAGAGCATACTACAAATTCAAAAAGATAAACTTAAACACTTGCGGTGCGCAAGCATAATTTTAGGCGTATTATAATACTGAATGAATACATATACATACATACACATATATATATATATACATATATATATAATTATATATATTATATATTGCATATGAATATGAAATATTATATTAGCGTTAGTTAAAATTTTTTATTACACAAAACTTATAAAAACATACTGCATACATACATACATATATTTTATATGTAAAAAAAACATAAACAACAATGCAATTATTTTTTTATTTAATTAAAATAATCTAAATATTTAATAAATTTTCAAACACTCGACATATGTAAAAGTGCTGCATACATACTAACACACTCTAAAACTACTGAAAACACAAGATTTGCTTGAAATCATCTCATAACTGCAGACTTGACTTGTAATCATTACATTTACATTACTTTGATTTTGTATTTACAAAAATATATTTTTAATTTTAAAATCTGACTAAATGGGTGCGCTTTGTTTTCAATAAAAACTGTATAAATATTAAAATATTTACGAAATCTGTTATTAATTGCAGACTTCAACAATATAATTTTCTGTTCAAATAATGAAATAGAAAAATAGAATTTTCTTTGAATATGCCAAATTGATTGTCCGTTAAAAAAAATGTTGCCTTTCTAAGCTTCACTTTATATACATACATAGTAACATTTCAAACAAAATGTGCATTGAAAAATTCAGAAAACATTTTTTTTGTGTTCTTTGCGGCAAAATATTGGGTTTTGCATTAAAAAATAGGTGAATAGTTCCAAAAAAAAATTTTTTTTTTATACAATATATATTTCGATTATAAGAAATAATTCGAAAAAATATGTAATTTAAATCTCATTAGAACTCAACTGAAAAAAAGTCGTAACCAATAGGCCATTTAATTATTTTTATAATGAAATACTTTTCTTCGCATACGCTAATGTTTAAAGGTACTTTTTTCGAGCCTTGAAATTTTGAAAATTCATAATTTACAATTTCTTTATATTGAGTCGAAACAAAAAATACGTGCCAATATTTTTCCGCAAAGAATACAAAAAAAATATGTTTCGCACGAAAAAAAAGTTTGAATGTAAAATTTCGATTAGTGATCTTCAATAACTTTTTACTGCAAGGTGGAGAGTGTTGGAGGCAATTTCTATGAGTATAAAAAAATTAAGCTTAGTCTGTGAGATATGTACACCAATCAATATTAACTTTTGAAATCACAAAAGTTGGAAGAACCAAGCGAAAATATTGCTTTTTTATAACATTTTGTAACGATATTCAAAGGAACAACTCAGCTGAGTAGTCATTTGATAACACAAACTTCTCTTAAAAGCAAGAATTTTATCTACATCGAATAGTTTGAAAATGGTGCGGACTCTAAGTGCTCAGAGAGTGAATTCAAGCCGTAAGAATTACAAGTGATGGTCAAAAAAAAATAACACTACTCGGTCAACTTTCTAAGAATCTCACTTAAGAGGCACACCTAGTGTGAACGCTTAAAACAAGGCGATATTTGGAAAAAAGCTACTGCATCAATTATTTTAAAATTTTGAGCTTATATTTATACAAATATTGAGAGTACAATCTTAGAAGAAAAGAATTAAGTAACAAGCGAACTTGGAGGGCGCTAAAAAGCAGCCACTATTGCAGCGAGTCCGGCTTTAAACTTGGCTGAAATTTAATAAACCTCTCTCGGAAAAATATAGCGTTTAAAAAAATTTGGAATTTTGGTCGTTTTTGATCTGCAAATATTTGATTTTCGATCAGATCAAAAAAATTGGTAAGTTATTGCATGGAGAACCATATAGAACTTGCTGAAAATTTGATAGTAATCTAATTATTTGTCTCCGAGAAAACCAAAAATATTATTTCGAAAAAACAACGCGTTTAAAAATTAACTGATGGCATGGCTTGAACTGAGCAGCTGCTCATTTGAAAGCTGTAACTCAAAAACTATTTGAGATATCGTTTTTAGTGAATTAGTATTTTTTAAGATAAAGAATAACGAAATATGTAAAATATAAAATAGAAGATCTTGGTAAAGCAAAAAAAGAAGTGTCCTAAATTAAAAGCGTGAGAAAAGAATAGTGGTTTAGCAAATTTTCATATAGTTAATCTATAAAATATTCAAAATATTTTCAATAAAGTGCATCCAAAAGGTAAAAGATAATATTTCATCTTCTCTTATTTTGCAATTGCTGCATTTTTTAAAAGTTTTTCTTTACAAACATACTTTTTGCTCTTATTCAGAATTCCAACAACACTCAATAGCGAGCGCTCCGTTGCCTTTTATTATTGTAATGCTTTATCAGACATTCATTTTTTAATGAATAAATATCAATTATGTAAAAAGCAAGAATAGGAAAAGTAAAAAAAAAAATATAAAAAAATTTAAGCCAAAAAAAATAAATGCCTGAAGTCTCATAATCGAAATCATAACATTTACACGTCAAACGCGTTTAATGAGAAGAACATAAGTGTCATAGCAATATGCAAAACATATCATAAATGTTGTAATTTACTGTGTTAATGCTAATGTGGTGAAAGCACAGCACTCCAAATGAACTCATATTATACATACATACAAATACCGAATATAAGTGCACCAAAATAAATACCGTTAATATCTACATGTACATACTTGTATTTATGTATTTAATAGTAATAATAATCGGCGACAAGCGTCAATGTACATACATACTTGTATACACAACCTAAATATATATGTACCATATACGCCATTAATACATGAATACAACATATGTGTGTTTGTGTGTGTGTGAAATGTTAAAATCTTAAGAAATATGTATAATTGGTGTACTTTGTATTTGTGACGCAATGCAAACAAAGATAACAAATTCAAAACAAAACTTTACGCAGGTGAACCTGAACAAAAAAGAGAAAACAGAAAATAGAAAACAAAAACAAACGTTTCCTTCGGCATACAACTGCCACCGAGGCGTATACGTAATATGCTACAAGGCGTATGCGTAATTAAAATGCGTGCCGGCCGTGTGTATGCGAGATATATGCATATGTATGTAACTGTGTGCAAATGTGTTTGTATTTATATCCGTTCAACAATCTATCGTCAAAGTCGACGTTGCGGCACCGAACTGGAGAAAGCAGAAGCAAGCGCCAATACACACACCCACACGACGGCTACATAATGCGAATGTGTGCGCGTGTGTGTAACTGGTGGATGTCACAAAAATGTCAAATGTCACATAAATGTCAGCGCAAAGCAAAGTAGAGTTGCATAACGTAATTTTATTTATATGCAAAAGATAAAACGGAATAAATTTCCCACCACGCATATACGCAGACACACACATCGGCGCAGGCGAAGCGAATGTAGTTGGAGCTGAGCATTGAATTTAGGCGTTGAAGAGCTTGTTTGAATATGAGACGAAACGAGTATTACGAATTACCATAAAATTCATGCATTTGCGTGACTTAGCATTTTGCCTCAAATTTTGTTGTTTTGTTTTTATTGTAATTTTCTATAACTGCGGTATTTCGCGCTTATTGTTGTTGCTGCTATTGTTATGCAAGGAAATAATTGTGCGTTTCTTCATTCGTAAGGATATATGCGTGCGATATTTGCCTAACTGCATTTGTATACCGCTATAAATAGGTATGTTGACCCCGATTAATTCAATTGTACTGAAAGAGTTTTTCAATTCATTGTATAATACTTAAGTGCCGTAAATATATTATAATTACTATATGGCTTTTTGAGAAAGTTTAAGGATATGTGTATATGCGTGAAGAGATATTGCAAAAATAAATAAAGAAAATTAAATGTAGACTTCAAATGCATGAGCTTTTAACTATTACCACATTTATATGAGCCAAAAGCGCTATTTACATCGCAGAAGTCTCTAGTAACTTTAATAATTTGACAGGAGATTGACATTTATCATATATCGAGCAGAACCAAACCAGTTCCCTACTAGCTCCAGAAAGGCAAAAAAAAAAAAAAATGAAGCCACTAGCGGCATAAATGCTATTTATGAGCTCTTAAGTCTAAAGCCTTTCAAAAGACAGACTTTTTTACATTTATTTATTATGCCATGAACAGGCTACACACATTTACACAGCAGCAGCGGCCGCAACAGTGATAAGTGAAAGAAATACATGAAAATATTTACAAAAGTTTGGTAGCTTTTCATAAATGCAATAAAAATGAGGAGAAAACATTAAAGTCAGGTTGAAAATCCAGCGGCTAACGCCTTATTTGCGCAAGAAAATTAAATTGGGCTGCAGGACAAACTCACCAGTGTACTCATGCATACACATTTTCGTACGCACACATGCATGAGCTAATTAATTTTATTAATTGAGCATTAAATTTATTGAAAGATTGACAAATTCCGAAAAAATATTATTTTTACTTGCATGAAACCGCCGGCTAAATTTAACAAAATATATAATTACAAGCGTATTCAAGTACACAAAAGAAATAATGCATTGAGAAATGAATACGCGCAATTACAATTGCAATTACATAATGAATTTAATTTGCAAATTTTATAAAAATACACATCACTCACATACACGAGTACACACACGCACATTATCATCGCATTTTACTTGGAGATACAGATATACTAAAATCCAACAAATAAATAAATAAAAAAACAAGAATTGATGTATGAAAATAAAAAAAAAATACACATATTTACATACATACAAGCAAACAAAAGACAACTTTTTTTGTGTATAAAAAAGGTAGTAAAGCAGAAATAATTATGCCATACGAAGCTGCATACATAAATTAATGATGAATTAACGGTATGAGAACAAATAAAAAGTCAAAACTTCATAGAAACACACAAAAACAAAAATATGGCGTAAATTAAAAATAAATTTTGTAAAAAATACACAAAAAACTTAATGTAAAAAATAAAAATTGAATACTAAATATGAAATATTAAATATATATATATATATATATATATAATATATACAGCAAATTTAATAAATATACAAAAAAGATACTAATAAATATACATACATACATGCATAGCTATTGTGCATACAGCCATAAGTAAATGTAATTGAAATATGAACAAATAAATCGGCAATTGATAGCAAAACACTAAATATTCTTATAATAATAAAAACTGTAACAAATGTAAAAACAAACACACAACAAAAAGAATAACAGTTAAATTTAAATGACTGTAAAAAGCATTCGTGCGTAACAGAAGTGGTAAAAGAACTAAAATAAACAAGCAAATAAAACAAACATAAATTAAAGTGGAGATGCTGCAGTATGCGAATATTTATTGTGGATATTCAAAAGAAATAAATGTTAAAAAATCTGAAACCTGACTTTCACTCAACTACTGGATTTCATATAAAAGTAAGCAGTGTTATTAGTTTATTACATGTTAACATCATGCATTTATCTTAACATCAGTGTCTGCGGTTGACATTAGTATTGGAGCATGCATAATTTGTGTCATATCGATAAATCGATATTTTTACCAGACCATACAATATAGATTAACTTTTTCGACAAATCAAATAGCGTTAATTTCACTACTTCCAAATACATTTTTTTTTATGCTTTAACTGAAATTTTTATATTGGCTAATTAGTGTAATAGTATATTTACTAAAACTTATTTTTTTAAAATTGATAATAAATATCACCAATATCATTTTTAGTAAGAAATCTTTCAAAAATATTTTATTTTTAATCAAACACAATAACTATTAAAAATCAAAAATCTTTTTAAAATTTTAAAATATTTTTTATATTTCGTTAAATCGATATTTCTAGCTGATTCAGGAAAAAGAAGGTTTGGTTGAATTTTTAGGAATTAAAAACGGATCCGTTGGATAAAAGTTATATAACAATGTTATAGTTAATGAAGTGATCTACAAATTCCGCATTAATACCTCTTTCACATAACCTCAAAATTTATATGAAACATTAAAATAACCAATTTGTATCAGTTAAAAACAAAAGTTATGATATTTGTGTAAACTTACCTTTTTACTTCCGAAACATACTAAATTTTTGTATTTAAAAGTTTTTCTTCTTCTTTATTTTGACTTAATATGGAAAAAGCATGCAAATTTCAGTAAGAATTTCTCACGTCAAAATTTCAGATTTTTTAAAAAATGTCTAAACTTTATGTTTGTTGAAATCTCTACTATCTAATGGTAAAGTAATATATGTATACATATACATTACTATGGTAAATTTTATCAAAAAATTAAAAACAAAGATACCATTTAACGATTCAATCCGGCTTTTTTTACAGCTACTACGAAATAACAGGTAGATGAAATAAAAAACACAGAATATTTTTTCGCATTTTTTAAGATAATATTTTTTTATAAAATTTGGTACTAAACAACCTCTCATACACGCATCAAAAATGAAGACCCTCTAAGAAAAAATATACTATATTCTGAATCCAATAAAATCGATGTATTTTTGAAGCGAATGATTACGAGTACTGCGACGAAAAGTGAGTTTCTAACGACAACAGTAAGCAAACACGGTCGTGAACGAATCGAGTTGAGCTGACGTAAACGGTAGGCCAAGCCAGTATTAACGATCACTATTATTTTCTATTTGTTTGGTGGAATCGGCAGAGAATCGTCTACCATGAGCTGCTGCCTTATGACACTTAATTCGGACTTGTACAGTCAACAATTGGCCATTAATTTTGTATTTGATAAAAGTCAACATAAACTTACACAAACTGTTGGTAAGCGATAGTGTATGTAACTGTATCGAAAGCTGTCTTCATTTTTCCGCATTTCTGTCATATGCTTCTGGGATTCGAGACAACAAAGTTATTCAGTTGAATTCAGTATGTAATAATATACATATTGTGAATACTTCTTAAAAAATCGCAAATATCTTTTTGTTTATCTTCATTTGCGCCAGTTGCTCAACCGATTCACCATCTTCTACATTTTGAGAATCTAAGCTACTACTATATTCAAAGTCATCTACTACTATAGCCGAATCTTTCAGTCATTATGGTTGGCCAAATGAAAGCTCATTCAATATTATTTTAGCAAAATATATCATAGTCCCCAATATGATAAACAAAAAAAAAACAGGGATTTAAAACTTAGCGATAAGTGAAAAAACGAATCAGTAAACGACTAATAATGCAATAAAGTTTACAAAATTTATATATTTATATTAAATGAAATATGATGATGTCAAATCGCTTAATTCAAGCAAAATCAAGTCGCTTACTCGACTTCAGTGCACTAAAGTATTTCAGCCGTTACACAGCTTCGCACTCCTATGAGAATTACTTAATTTTTCTTCCTTAAATTAAAGGCTAAATCACAAAACGAATAACAAATAGCCGGCTGCAATTCGTTAGCAATTTAAAGGCAGCTAAAGCAGATAAATTTTAAGCAAACTTAAACAGCTGAGACAACACGTTGTTTGCAAAGCATAAACATTTCAACGGCTTGCTTCAATGAGCATAACGCTTATGCATGCACAGCACTGTAGTAAAGATGTGAAGCACCAGAGCACACCAACAACACAAACCTCTGCTTGGCAGTGTAATCATTTAAATAATTAATTCACGTTGCCACAACAACAAAGGTGCAAATGGCCGCAATCTTGGTTGCCACTCGTTTCGTGTAATAAATTATTTCAACAAGAATATACAAAGATATCAAACTATTTGCCACTATAAGTGTGTTTGTATGTGTTTGAGTGCTGTCTAAGGAGAGTAGCCTGTGTACACAACACTTTACGCTCGTCAACCGAACAATTTGACTACTTAGGCAACAACCGTTGAAGTTCACATCGTAGACTATAAACTTAAATTACGCAAACTTACTAAAAATTAAGGCGACGAATGCGAACGCCAACGTGGCTAACGGCCCTTAGTCTTTAATACATCTCAGTAGGTGAGAGCAAAAGGTCGCTTGGAGTGTGTTTGTCGGCGGCAATTTGCCAAAGCAATTTGAAATTAATGTATTCAAACGAGAGTATGCCACATAACGGTACAAATGCTCAGTTCATTATGTATAGAGAGAAATGTGCAGCGTATACGAGTATACTGAAACTGCGCGAAACGGAAATGTTGAGTGACTTTGCAGCAACTGTCCAAACAAATGGCTTTGAATTGTGATTAGTCAGGAGCAGCGGTGACAAGTGTTCAATTATAATTTGCACTAAATTTAATGAAATCTAATGGCCTCCTAAATTGCGATGTCAATCAATTGAATTGAAATTTGTCATAAAAATTACCCCCGAACACGAATTCATAGATTTTCGGTTGGCTTCTTTCGACTGGGCTTCAATTTTACGGCTACGTAACTACTGTTAGCCACTGTCTGTAGAGGGTCACGTTGCTTAGAACTAAGTATTTTACAACATTTTTATCGTATTATTTTAAGACAAAATCAGAAAAAACGGTGATTGCAGCTGCAACGGAGCTCGCATAATACCCTTCACAAGTTTACATTTCTTGTACAATAGTATAAAAGGGTATACAGAGATCTTTATCCTAATCGGTCAGTTTGTATGTTAGCTACATATATGCTATAGTGATCCGATCTAAACAATATGTTCAAAGATTTTTGCTTTGTCTTAGTCAATAATCTATGGCAATTTCATGCAAATATCTTTTCAAATAAAATAAATTCCGTAAATGAAATTGATATTGAACGGTTATGTTTGTATCTTTTTAAAGAAATCACAGAAACGTGAACGACCCTGACTTATCCATCGTTCTGCCAACATCACTTTTATAGGATAATATTTATATAGAGTTGATCGAAACTTTCTATGTCATCAGCGATCACTTTGGTCACTACTGAGTCTGGAGCAATGAAGTCTAATGACGGCTTTACCGACGTACTTTAATATTTACACAGTTTTTTTTAATTCCTCTTGGAACGCAGCTGCAGCATTGTTGTTTAGTATTCGACCATTGTTTGTTAGCTCGGCAGTATTTTAAACTTTCACTTACTATTTTAAA